ATTGCATTCACAAAACTCTAAGATTAAATTGTTCGAATCTACCATCGGTCCATTCATCAATTCATCATTGGGTGAGAGTCCTTGCATGGAATAAATCCTCAGATTATTTAACTTCTTCGAAATAATAGCCACTCAAATCACCATGATAAATAGTACATCGGATTCATGTATGTTGGTTACTTTATGGGGTGTTACTCTCTCAACCGGCCATTGAAAAATTTTTGTGACCATTTCTTCTATCAATCGATAAGCTCCATCAAAAGGTTTAGACATCAATGAACCTCCTGCACCAACATCTATTATGGATCTCATAAAACCTACTAATCCATTGTAAAAGGTTTGAATGATTAACCAATCAGGTAGAGTATGGTGTGGGTACCTTCTAAGCAAGTCCTTAAATCTCTCTCAAGCCTCATAAATGGATTCTCCATCAATTTGGGTGAATGAGGTAATTTCGTTCCAAAGTTTGATAGTGTTTGATGGAGGAAAGTATGTTTCTAGAAACTTTTAGGATTAGTCATTTTGAGTTGTGATTCATCCTGGGGCAAGTGAGTTAAGCTACACCCTATCTTTGTTCTTCAAAGAGAAAGGAAGAAGTCTAAGCCTAAGAACATCATTGGGGACACCATTTTATCAAAAGGTGGCACAAAGTTCAAGAAAATTAACTAAGTGACAATTTGGGTCCTCAAAAGATAGTCCCCCAAACTATTTTTTGTTTTGATGATTTGGATTATGACATGTCTCAACTCAAAGGTGTTGACCTCGATATTGGGGTAATTGATGCTCATATGAGTTTCCTCAACATAATGGTCGGCATAGTCTCTATGTCGTTTCATGACGGAAGTGTTGGGATCAACCATCTCAATGGGTGTTTTAGTGAGGAGTGTGCTCTCCCAAGACGTTTGAAGTTGTGATCGATCTCAAGGTCAAAATGGGTGATGTCAGCCACAACTCTCCTATGCATAAAATGACAAACAAAACAAATTATAAAACTATCACTCACACGATTCAATCAACAAACACATATGTAACAAACACATAATATGAAAACAAAAAAAGAAATAAATTTAAGAGGAAATACATATATTCAGCTTTTTAATTTTTCAACACCTGCAAGAAAATGGAACAATACAGATGCAATGACAAAATAATAAAAGAAATTTTTTTTTGAAAGTGTCAAACCTAGATCCTAAGCTTATCAACTAAATTTTCCTGAAATTGAAATAATAATTAACACATTTTTACCAGCAATGGTGAAAAACTTGACACTCCAAAATTTATCTTGAAGTAGATTGTATAACGCAAGTATACGTGTCAAGTAATATGCAATTTAAGAGTCCACATTTCAAACTCACGAGGAAATATTTAAAGAGTATTTCAGCAAAACAAATCTATAGTTTACTAATCCTGTGAACCTAGCCGGGAATTGTTTCACAAGGGGTTTAAGTCCTACAAATTTAACAAAAACAGTTCTAATGCAAATAGTAGAAAAGAAAAAAGTTGAAAAAATCTCAGATGTTCTTCAAGAGTGATGATGCTCGTGCCTCTATGAGTCGGGGATCATGGTGAATTGTGGTATTCCTAAATGTTTTCCTACATTATAGTTCTCAATCGGGGATAGAAAGTTCTTCTTTTGCATATGTCTAGGTCAAAAGAATACTAAAATCCATAAAGTTGAGACTTCCTCAATCCCCATAACATTCAGCA